TGCACAGTCAGCAGCAACTAGGTCCCTAGAAATCCTATCCCCAGAAATCCCCGAAAAATTTTGTATAAATCGTCGTTTCTACTTCAAGAATTATCGCGTCGATGTTACTTTCGATTTATGCCAATTTTTACGCTAATCGACAATTTCTTATACTTGTTGAAATCAATTCGTTAAATTGAATCTGAAATTATTAAGTTTAGTCGTATTTTATACATTAAATTAAATTTCTTAAATTTCTTCATTTGTGTAATCTATATTAATCAAATTGTTACAATGAATAAAATGCTTCTCTCAACGGATACTACGTTAGAAAAAATAGAATTGACTTTCTTGTTTAATCATATTTACCAATTTGCCATTTCATTTCCCTCGACGAATTAAAAAAAAAAAAAAAGTTATTTAACTTTAACGAATGGCATATCTCGAATCGATGAAACATCGATTTTAAGTATTTACGGCGGCATTATCATACGGCAAATTGTTTTAAAATTCGCATTGCTTCCGTTATTACGTTGTTAACGAACGTAATACTTGGGCACACACTCGCATGTCTCTAATTACTTATTCATTTACAATCAATTTATCTGCTTATGAATGTTTCGTCCGGTGAATATGCAACCTCTCTAAATATGCAATGAATATTTATATCATGTTCGCCGCAACCCGCGCCACGTTTTCATCGAAGTAAACGTCGTTCTTGATTTTTTTTTTCTCCATTTCTAGAATTGTGATTATCGATTACGTTGTCGATAATCTTAGTTTCTATATATATATATATATATATCGATAAGATCGATTTCACCAATTTTTGTATCTTAATGGTATTTTGAATTATTTAATGAAATATTATTAATCTATAAGTTAACAATATTTTATAATAATATTTATCGATAATCACAATATTTCATATTTCTCTCACCCTTGTTGCGATTATTAAAATAAATGATGATTGGGATAGAAAGATTTTAGAAATGAGAAATTAAAGTGGAACAACAATCTAATCGAAATGAAAATTCTAAACGGTATTGTGAAATTTTCGAAATTGTTTTTTCCGAATATATTCCTGGGTTGAATTAAAAAACAGAGATCGTTTTTAGGTTTTATTTTAATTACGGTGAAATCGTATATTTACAGAGGAAATGAATTTTTGTGTGGACGAGGAGGAAAGAGTTATGGATGTAAATAGATCAATAATTTAAAAAGGATATGAAAAATTGTATGATAGAGGTTTAATATTTGAAAAGGATATAAATTTTCTATAAAATCAATATCCTTTTTTTTTTTTTATAAAACTAGAAAAAAGATTTGTTTCAAAATTTTCAGCTCGTTTATCACATCACACATAAATTCATAGAATTAGTAAAATATAAAATAATTAATGTTTCATAACTGATTAATGTTAATAAACGTAATATAATTAATAAAACTTATTGATTAAATAAAAAAATTATAATCTTAATTGCTATTTATAAAAAATCAAAGTAAAAGCTATCAATATTCTATCAAACTAAAAAAAGAATCTTAAAAACTTTCTTCTTCTTTTTTCTTAGTATCAATTTATCGTACAATTTTATAAATACATAAACAAACTTGATGTATAAATAAATAATTAAAAATCCTATAACTCCTATATAAAAACCATAAACTAGATTATATTTCATACGAAAGGAAAACTAAAGAAACTTAAGACCTGTATCGACAACCGTTGAACAAAGTTAAGAAATGAATACAAACAAACATCAACACCTGGGACGAAGCTCGAAACTTAGGATCGTAAATCAAATTTGGAAATCGTGGATATCGAATTTACACATCGACGAGGCGCTCCATCACGCTCTTCAATATCGTTCCTCCTGAGACTTCAGCCAAACATCAAACCGTATCGCCGTCAACAACTAACTCAACCAGGAACCATCCACTAATTGCATCCCTGTATCGGCGATGGACACGTCGTCAACAACGGTTAATGATCGATCTCATGAAATGACTACACTTTTGGACTTGATTGATTCATTTTCAAAAAAATAATGGCCAACTATTATCACATCTCTGAATTGAACGATATATAATTTTTATTTAAACTTTTAGCTTTTAGATTTAATATTTGAAAAAATATACATTTTCTTCTTCGTTAAAAAATTTATATACTCAACTATTGCGTGAAATGTAATAGATTTTGAAAAAGATTATCGATTTTTTAAACTATTATTATAATTATAATCGAATATATTCATCCCTATACAACATTTTAATACCATAAAAAACATATATACACGATTTAATAAGAATTTAATGAATTTCATTTTAAAATTTGTACAACGACTTTTCACCGAGTGTTCAATGATCGACAATGAATTTCCTCGAAACTCAGCTGTTGAATCGTAGTCTCTGTTAAATTCATTCGTATTAATTCGAGCACGGGAATGAAATCGTCGAAGAATCCTCGCGGAAGGAACGATAGTTTCGCCATTGCTCTTGGCAGCGGCGAATAGAACGAAACAGCGCATAAATCGCTAACGACGCACACTTTGTTACAAAAGCGCGGCTCTCGCCCACCCCATCGCGCCAGAGCCATCGCGGGGGTGATTTATCGTTCGAACGTGGACAATGCGAGAAATATTCTGGCGTGCTCGCTTCGTAAATCACGATTCTTCGGTAGTCCATAGAGGAGGAGGCGATTTCTCGCTGGCTAGAATATCACGCGAGCTTCTGGAAAATGTACACGGATTTCCACGGATGGGAGGACACATAAAGGATAAAGAACGGACACGGGCACAGATACGAGTACAGAGTTGAAGATATAGATGTGCATAGGTGGATCGTGTCTCCCGATTGTCTCAATTATTTTTTCGAAATTGAGGAGATTGGAAAAGAAAAAGACGAAAGAAAATCGAGGAGAATCTTCCTTAAATGGTGATAAGACGTTATGAATAGAGTTAATTAATTCTTTTCGTTTGTGAAGAAAAAGAAAAGATTTTTGAGTTGATATCAAGATGAATTTAATGAATTCAATGTTTTATTGTAATTAAAATAAAAAAAGTTAAGTATAATCTCGAAATATACGTTACACAGATTAAATATCGCTTTGAAGATCTTTCTAAATCATATCATTTACGATAAAAGACACGAAGAGCAAAAATTGTTTTAATTGTTCCTATTAGATAATCCATCTATACAATCATAGATACAAAAGTGTATGAATACAGACTAACTATTATTTAAGCTACAAAACAAAAATTATTATTAAAATTCATTGTATTCTACAATTATTACAACAAACAAAATTGTTATCTTAATTAATCTTTGATCAAGGATTATTATACACGTATAATAATAGAAACGGTTATACAAAGTTACAACGTAGAAACAGATTGGAGTCGGGCAAACGATGCGACACAGATATGTATATATAAATACAAAAGGAGAAGCAAGGAGAAGAGGCAGAGTTGGATTCGGTGTCTGAGTTGGAATACAGGGTGGATCTCAGCATCGCCCCTCGAACTTGATCGGATTAATATTTCGTCGTGGAAACGACTCATCGGATCGAACGTTGATTGGAAAGTTAAAAAAATGAACCCGCGAACGTTATCTCGTGGTGAACTTTCGCGTTTCATTTTCGATTCTGTTGAAATTTTATCCTAGTGTTGCGTGGTCGCTCGATGGAAATTTCAGGATTCAGTTTGCGTTGGTTATATAGTTGGCTAGTTTAGAAGATGGATTTTCGATATGAAATGGGGGCCCGTTTCGAAAGATATATTGTATAGGATATGGGTGTGCTATTATGGTATTGAAAGTCTATGATATAATATATAATAATATATAATAATAATATAATTGGAATATATAATAATAATATAATTGGAATATATAATAATAATATAATTGGAATATATAGAATAATAATAATAATTGGAAATTATAGATTAGAATTATAGAGTATTAAAATTAAATTAAAATGTTTGTTTTACAAATAACTATTTACTAATGTCCATGGAGAGATATCTGAAAAATATGTGCAGAATTAGAAAATTTTTCTAAGCTTCTAAGAAACTAACTAAGCTATTTAATTATTCACGTTTTATAATTTTAATAAATAAATTAAAGAAAATATATAAAATAATTTTTTTAATTTGTACATTAAGAAGAATAATTTAACAAATTATTGATTAAGATTCTTTTCTATGGTTATATTTAAATATTTTTCCCTTAATTCCAATATTATTCCCACGTTACGCTTTACTCTAATGAATTCCACGATTATCCAAAGTTGCTTTACAATTAGTTTCGGTCTTAAGCACTCGAGAGTGTGTACAGAACAGTTCAGCGACAGATTCTCTGTAACCAGATGTCACGTTAGGATCCTGAATGTGTCTAAGAGAAAGTTAACGTAACTCGACAGTTAATATAACTCGGTATGTTTCTTATGATTATAGTTCGCGAAATGTTAAGAAGATAGAGCGAGGGAGAAACAGAGAGAGAGAAATGTAAGGAAGATAGACGTAATCTAACCGAGATACGTTTCAAAGCACATAAATCATCGTTTGTGTTCCTATTTCAAAGGAATATATTCCTTGAATTTCGACGTTGTTTAATGTTATATTAATATCATTATTCGATATTCAATGAATAACATTATATGTTTTGATCTGGCAAAAATAATTAATTTATTGTATTTGATTTATTTTATTATGTTTTGAAATTTAATAATTATCGTTTAAATTATATTTTTAAAAAGTATATTTTGTTAATCTGTGTGATATAAGTTAATAATTAATATTTTTCAATGGAATAATTTTTTTACTTAGGTATTCATAACTGTATTTTATAATTCTATGCACTTTTGAATATTTAGAATTTCATCTGGCCATGTTCTAACAAATTTCTTACTCATTTTAAATAAAATTTATTTAATTTCACGTTTAAAGTTTTAATTTCTTGATGACGTATGGGACACGAGAGCTAATAAGTTTAATAAACGTTTTAAAATCTCTACAACTTACCAGTCGTTCTTTTCTGTATAATTTTTTCTTCAATGAGCGCTCTAACGCTGACAGACGCAGTTTGTAAAGGCGGACCAACAACCTCTTTCTTCTCGCTTTTTTTGTTCTCAGCATCCTGGAATAATTAAAAACATCACGTGTTTAATCCCATAAAAAATTAACTTCAACATTTAGAGATTTTAATTTTTTAATAGAATTTTAAAAATTTGGTTATTTATTAATTAATGAATAATATTTTAATTTCTATGAAAATTTCTACGTTTCTTTCTTTTGTAACAAAATACAACAACATGAATAAAGGCGAACAATTCATCAATCAATAATGATTCGAAGCGAAATCGTCTCGAATATTAACACATTTCCCTCCATTACTTTTAATCGCGAATCAATTTCGGTCTCTCTCGTCAAATATCGTCAAGAATTCTGGCCAGCCATTGGAGGACAATGCTTGGTTGCGTAACACGATCCTACTTGACCTGATAATTATATAGCTCGTGAATCGTTCGGGGTCTAATTTTAGGTAATTCGGGTTAACTATGGATTTAGAATGTTAGATTTAAGCACTAAGAGAAAGAAAGGAAGAAAGGAAGAATGGATCGATGGAAAAGAGGAAATATAATCCAACGGAAGAGTAACATAAGAAAGGAGGGTAGGAAAAGGAAAAGGGGTGCTAGTGGAATGAGATTGAAGAGATCAGGGTGGATTATAAAAGGGAGAAGATAAAAATGTCAGAAATGAAGAAGAGGTAAAAGAGAAAAGAAAATGGCAGGAAAGAAGTAACTGGCGAATGGTGGAGCCCATTATTGGACTCTTTTCTCTTTATTCCAAGTTTTTCATCCCTTTACAGTTAGTTTTTGTGATGTAAATAGTTGTAAATGTACGATCAAAAAGTATTTTGAATAAATTAAAGATGGGAATAATTGACTTTAGCTAAGAAGAGAATGTGTTCGAGTAGAAGAATTAATATTTTATATTAATTTTATTAGAAATATTTGTAATCTTTCAATTACTTATACCAGAAATATTAATACAAATTCATTTTACAATTAGTGTTGAATATTTTGGTTAACATTCTAATCTTTTATATCGTTCAAGATTATTTTTAAATGATAATTATAGCTATAGCATTAAAAGGACTATATTTCATTCATCAATTTTTTCTAGAAATTTTTATTACTAGAGAATAATAAAAGAATAATAAAAATTTAAGATCATTCTGATTGATTATACTTCAAATAGAATACATTTGTACATATTTAACAAAATTAAACTATTGCAAAACCAAACAATTTATACAGTAATAGCATTCATTTCTATCAATTTCTCAATTAAACTTAAGTATCATCTCATTCCTACATGTTTTTTAAATATAAATTTAAAATTTTTCAAATTTTCAAATTCTCATCCATCACATTTATTCTTCTCCAAGTCCAGGAATAAAATCTAAAATCACAAGTTCACAATTCTTTATTTCTCATTTGTATGTATTGAAAAACTTCAATATTACTAAAATTGAATGTTCATACTTCACATTTTCCAAATTCTTCTTCGACGCAACAAAAATAACAGCAACAACAATCTGATCTGATCTAAAGATCTAAAGATAAATTAAAAAAAAAAATAGAAAACGATTTCAAACGATTCTTCTTCTTCGAATCAAAACCAAAAACCCGTTCGCACACTATCGAAATATCGGTATCGCTTTTTCCTCGCAACAAATCTTGCAATCGGGCGAACGCATCTCTAAAATCTACACGTCAAATATTCCCCACGCGGCCAATAACCCAGGCCTCGTCCATCACTGGACGCGACCAGTTAATCGGAAACGCGTCCCCCCGATTGATACTTCGATCGGTTACGACTGGTCCGTTTCGTAGATTAGTGGCCCCGATGAAACGAAGGGTTAATTGTGCCAGTCCTTGGGACGCGCCTCCACGGCAATTAGCATACGTCCGTGTCGGACGTGCATATATCTTCGTCCTGTTCCACGCGTTCCCTTCGAGGAGCCATGCATCACCATGTGATATGCGTGCCCCAGCGTCGTCATCTTGATGAAACCTTAATGGCGAGGGAGAAAGATGGAAAGGGCGAGGACGGAGGACAGAGCGAGACAGGCGTCGTTAATCGTCATCGTGCTTCTCAATTTCATATACGTTACTTCGATGTGCGCGTTTCTGGATGCTTTGTATGCAAGCATGCGTTGAGATGTACGTGTCGGTAGTAGGTAAAGCTTAAATAATAATTTTGTGATTTCAAATTGATTTTTTTCCATTGTCAATGTGAGTTATTAAGGCCAATTACAGGATGCGTAGATTTGTTGCCGGTAGTGTTGGGTATGTACCGCCGCCGAGTCGTTTGAACAAATGAAATCGAAGCAAATGTATTGAATGTTGGATAAAAATTATGTCGAATTATATCTTATTTACGAAAGAATGAAATAATTCGCTTGTGATTGGCCAATATTTTTCGTTAATGACTCATTAAAGATGAATTTTTTTTCACCAGAAGGTATAAATTATGCAAATTAATTGATTATACAAAGGCTTTTTTATAAAATCAATGAACTAGATTGTAATGTATTAAGGACAATTAAACGTTATTTATGATATGGAATAAATATTTTACATTTGTTGACAATAAATCATACATACTTATATATTTATATAGATATTGTTAGATATTGTTGAAAGATTCAAGTCTTTAAGTTGAACTTTGTATGAACATATACGAGTTCAATATTATCTATTCCTTGCTAGCTAACAGGTTATATTGTATATTAATTTTACTAATCTTTTCGATTAATTAATTCGTCTCAATTAAACGTAACGTAAATTTCCTCGAAATTTTGGATTCTCTCTTTTTTTTTTTTTTTTTTTAAATCTTCTATACATAACACGTTATTATGTATGTACATATATAGTCACTTACATGTATATCACCTGCCGCGAAATTGAACTCTGTCTTTGACGTGGCGTACCACGCTCGGTTCATGAATATTGATCGGATGCTGTTAATACGCGGAATTGATTGCGGAACGTTCACTGGCTCCGTCTCATCAATTCGATCCGTGTCGATTCCAGCCTCGAACGCGAGTTCTCTTGTCTACCGTAATGTACGCACGTTCGATTTTTTTTTTTTCCACTCTTTTTTTCCCTCTATTTTTTTCTCTTTTTTCCCTTTTTTCCCCTCTTTTTTCCTCTCTTTTTTTTTTCGCTTTCCCCTATGAAATGAGCATGAAACGTGCTTCGTTGTGTCTACGCGTAAGTAGTGAGTTCGAAGAACTCTCTTGTTTTCCATTTTTAATCTTTATTTCCTATCTCCTCTCTTTTCTTTCTTTCTTTCTTTCTCTTTTTTATAATTTGTTCTTTCTTGTATTTCATCGTTCTCGATTCTAATTCTATTCGATACAAGGATGAGAGACGAAAGGGTTAAGAGAGTAGATTGCTTTTGATTGATTTTATGGAATATCGAGTTTCGAGCTCGTCGGTGTACAAATTTTTGGTATAAATTTTTTTATCACGTGATTTCATCATGAAATTCAAATTTTTTATTTATTCGAATAATAAAATAATATGGATTTCGATTAAAGGTATGATTGAATTCTTGTGGAATATTAATTTTATGATTTTATTTATGTATATATGCAATTAAATTTATGTAAAATAGGAAAGGAGAAATGAAAAAATTATTTTGTTAATTTATATATACTTATTTTTTCAGCCTTCTTTTTTAAATATTAAGCTATTTATAAATAGTTTTTTTTTGTTACATTAGAATTTTATTAAATTAACAACGATTATGTACAACAAATAGAATATAAATTTAAATAATTTTATTATTTTTGTAAAAGAAAAAATGAAGTAAAAGATTAAATTTATGTAAAATTTACTGTCATAATTTCATTTATATATTTATATTTATATCATTTATATTTCTCGAATAATTTCATATTCATATTGCTCGTTTAATTGTGAAATTCAGATTTCGCGTTTGAATGATAAAATATAAATGAATTCTTCTTCTTCTTTTTTTTTTTTTTTTTTACAAACACAATATAATATATTTATAATTTAAATTTATTAATGCGATAATTTAAAAAAATTACACCCAGTATTAATTAAATCTGATTCTTAAATGACAATATAAAATTCCTTTTTTATCCATTATTATTATTATTAATTATTATCATATTATTGATTAAAATAAACGTTTCATATTCATACAGCATTTTCATTGCTGTTTAATTAAAAATGTGGTTGAACGTTAAAAGAATTTCAATATGAATAGTATCGGAACGCCCGTATAATGGGACCTTGGGATTTTTGGTTTAATAATGAAAGAACAGATACATAGTGATCGAAGCATTGAGGAATTTCACGAATTTTCTTGAATTACACATTTCCAACGTATTGAATTCACCATGAAGGTGAAATAAAAAAAGAAAAAAAATTAAACATTATTTTCACCATTGTGAATAACCGATTACCGGCTCTTCTCTCATAATGAATTCGCCTTTAATCTCAACTATAATAAATTATCTCCGATTTTCATTGCTAACTATATACCAATTATTCCCAATTTATTTCATAAATCGCTTTTAATTTTCCAACAGAAAAGTTAAATAGGATAATTAATTAACGTTGAAACGAAAGCACGGTATTACGTACTTTGACACGTGTATTTAGGATTATGAAAGATATCGATTATGAAGCTTTGCTAATTTTAATATACTCGGTTATTGCGTTCACTATGAATTAAAATTAATCTCTAAAAAATAATCTCTTAAAATATTCTCTTTCAATGAAATTGTAACGATTATTTTCTTGCCTTTTTTACTTCGGCAATACGTTTTGTACATTTATACAAAATGTTTGAATCAAATTATAATTTTTATAATTAATTAATTAATGGTAAACATTAATTATGGAATTTTTTATTAAATCGTATTCTTTAAACGTGTATACGTCAATTACAATTTTCAATTTTTGTTTAACTAATTTATATACGATAATATTGAGATATTGCGATGTACGAGAATTTCAAAAAAGCTTTTATATCGACATATTAATTAATAATTGACATATTTGTTGTCGATCTTGGTAATAATTTCTCACA